ACACACACACACACACACACACACACACACACACACCCTGAGACCTTTTAATTCCAGCAAAGTCTTAATTATTTGTTCCTGACTTTGCCGCACCGCCATGACCATGCCTTTAACCAAAAAGTGTATGTGCTTAAAAACAAGTGAGATCAACATATTATCTGTGTTCTGACACAATTTCATCAATCGTAAGTGAGACCTGCTCAACATGTTAATGTACCATATTTATTCATGTATAATACGCTCATGAGTATAATACGATTATAATTTTTTGAGCCTAAAAAGCATAAAAAAATCAATTCATCAATAACCTGTGTATAGTACTACCACCCAACTTTATGGATGATTTTTAGGGTTAAATTTCTAGTATTATACATGAATAAATACAGTAGTTTGACATGATCACTTTAGCCCCAACCCCATCCGTCTGGCCTTCTGTTCACCTTATGAGATGATTTAAATAATGAAGGCCTGTGATGATTCCAGYTAACAGTTGGTCACCACTGAATGACGATGGGGGATATCAGTGACGGTTGAGTTCTATCTTGTTTATTTCAGGTCTTTACAGCACTTTACTGAATTTTATTTTCATCATCCTCATTTTTCTCCCTTTAACTCATCTTTTCCCTCATTAACTCATCTTCCACCAGTGTGTTTTATGCAACAGATKCATGGTTAATAATTAAACACTAGGAAACTTTTAAATGTGGCTTATCAGCAACATCCTGATGCAGCATCCCGGCCCTTTCTTTTTTCCTTTTTCTTTTTCCAGAACTACACCCAGTACATCCCGCTGTCCATCTATGACCTGCAGACCTGGATGGGGAGCCCGTCCATTTTCGTTTACGACTGCTCCAACGCCGGCATCATCGTCAAGTCGTTCAAACAGTTCGCCCTGCAGCGGGAGCAGGAGCTGGAGGTGGGCGGCTGCGAGAACACACACACCTGGTGGTTCATGACATGACGCCRTGCAGCAGTGGTGAAGTGGTCATAGGGATTAAACTGGGAGAGGAAGAATATCTCCTAGAAGACGAGACGAGTCAAACAAACACACAACTCTCAGGCTGGATCTGCTGCAGCTCTGAGGCTAATGGCTTCTGAGCTGTGGTTCTCAGCTGGAACCAGACCTGAACTGGCAGCTGGGTCTGAATATCCC